GCTTATCCGTGCTGAACTCAGTGGCCGGAGTGTTGGCATGTTCCCGAGAATTAGGTAAATCCAGGTCACGTGAGATGACACAAAGTCAGGTGATGTGGAGAGTGGGAAGAACCAGTCGTTAATACTATCACGACGCGGGTTTACCACAATGTCAACTCCTGACGGAAATCCTGGGTGTACTTGTCTAGGTATCGTCTCACCCGTGCAAGTTATTTGCCACGGTATAACATTTTAGGAGCTATACAAATGGTTGGGTGGTTGGTTATTTTGGTTAAAGTCTATCGACTGAACGGTCTTTTAAGGCTACATATGACTCACTCACCTGGCAACCAGCCAAGAATATTTAGATCCCTACAAATTGTAAAGTAAATTATTGTAGGCCACAATAGTTTATTTTAAACTGTGTATGGGGAGGGGGGTGTACACACGTACACCTCTCTGTGTACATATCTGTGTGCGCACACAAATGTCCCGAGGTGGAAACCAAACTGACAACGATGAACATCTGTGATAACCTGACCAAGAACTACGAGTGAAAGTGTTCTGACAAGCCGACGACCAAACAAGTGTACCATTGCCTAACAGACACATTACAAACAATTAACACTTTCGCCCATCAGGGACTTAATCGATGAAGTCCCTAGCGGGCGAAACTTCTTAATAAAATGTCATAAATCGCACATTGTGTCTTATTAACAGACATTGGGCATCATGTTCAAAGACAACCATACAGGCGTCCGTTCACTTATACACACAGCTCGAGCGATAAAAAAAAAAATGGTAAATTCTGTTCCCTCGTATTGGACAGGTAGGAAAGCTGCATCATTCTGTTTATAGGTTATAAAACAAGTATTTATGGAAGCAGTTATTGGAGGGCAAAGCCAAAAAAAGCAGGCAGGATCATGTTGCATAGTGAAACGAGGAAATTGAAATACTGTATACGGAAGCTAGGGGAGAAAAAATATCGAACTTCAATAAATTATTCTAGATAGCAATGAGAAGTACAGCGGAGATCATGTCAAGGAGGACGTGTGTTAAGGCTTCCGCGAATCGCGATCGCAGTTAAAGGTATGTTGCGAACTGCACATCAATGACTGTTGTAATAAAAAAAAATCGTCAAGAGTCTTGACTGTCAGCACCTCTGTTCATCACAACCCATGATTATATGTAAACTACGGTACAGGTGGGGTTAGACCCCATGGCAAGTGAATGCTAAAACTCCAGGCCAGTGCGCAAGCCACTGGGTTGCGCCGTGGTTTGTTTGCAATAGTGTTATTACGATTTCGTGAGTCATAATTATGTACCTGTGACTGATTTCGTTGGTTCTTCTAGCCTCTCATCCTGAGGCTCAGCTTACCTAGCTGAGGAAAAGCCTTCCATCTTGACTTCCTGGTCATCAGGCTGCTGATGCTATATATACAACTATCCAAGGAAAAGCTTATGTGAATGGGGTTTATTAGTGGTTGTAGTCAGAGAACTAGCACCAGCAATAATATTCACCGTGTGAAACCACTTAAACTTCCTCTTCCCCACATGACCGACCCACCCACCCCCAGTAGAACTCAATACACCATCTCATTCCAGAGACATGGCGGCCCACACCCACCACCAGAACTACTGCAGTGCCGTGCTACGCCCACTCTCATATCCAAGACCATCCACTACCTAAATTCACTTCTAAGACCATTCACACCTCACCCAGGGTCGCCTACTGTCACTCATACCCAGCCCCCACAATATTCCGTCCACTACTTACGCTAACGTTCGTTTTACAAGTACACTCATACTCAACATCACGATTTCGTGCACTACCACAGCACGGGGAGGGATTATTAAGTAAAATATTATAAGATCACATTAATTCAATTTCAAGTGTTACACATACCTAACTTTAACAGTCTTTATGTGCACGGATGTCAAAATAAATTGCTCAACAAACACAAGATCTAAATTGTGTAATGCATTTCAGTGTTGGGTCCGCATTGTAACTGGCCAATAAACTTGCATTAAAAAAAATCCAACTACAGTGATTCTAGAATTAAGATTACAGATGAGATGATTCAGTACCAGCCTCCTTGATAACTACACTGACCCTTTCGTTCATTACTTCCACCTCCCTCTCTTTGCTCTCTACCACCATTCTTTCCATCCTTCGATCTCTTTTGTCTCAATCATTACTCGTCTCTCTCCATTCTTTTCTTAATTTTGCTCTCCCTATTCTCACCTCAACTTCCTTGTTTTTTGCCCTCTCATTCTAGAAGTTCTCTCTCCCTCTTCCCTTTTCCCCCACTTAACCCTCTACAAATCTCTCTAAAGCAATCAATGCCCTTTGGCCGCAAAGTGTGATTGGAGACATATAGGACCCCCCCCCCCCCGGCCCCGCCTCAACACAGTACCAACAACGTGGCCACAATTTCACACCGTGCTTCAGCCAGACACGTGGTGCGTGCTACGCCCTGCACAACGCTACTTAGTTGACGCATGCAGCACAATGTACTGTATGTCATTACCACACACTAGTCAACCAACCACCCTCACTATTGACTCGTAAAAACTGCAATCGATCCTAAGCATATTCAAGGCGTGAACAACCCTTAAGCAACCTTCAGAAGTTCTCCATTTTGTTATTTAATATAACTGGGTACATCATCTATGCGCTCGAGGGCAAGATGGCAGGAAGAGCAAGTAGGCACCGAGAATATTGATGGTAGACGTAGGAACCAAACTGATATGAAGAGTATGTTAGCATGAAATGAAAGTTCAATATCCAGAGGACCACGGGTTTTACGATTCCTTAAATTGGAAATATACGTAAGGGAAAGTCTTCAGAGACGCCGTCTTGCGGAATCGACCCTAATACAACAATTCTAATGTGAACCATGGTCTCACCTTCGTTTAACTTTCCATATACACTACCAACTGCTCTAGTCTTTAGAACACTCGTGACTAAACTTCGTCTTGGCTTTAGCCTCATATTTTCTCCTGACTTGCAATGTGCGATTTTTCCTCCACTTATCTTTTAACTTTCCTCACCTTATCACTTGACATGTCCTCTGACTCCCTTCCCCAAATCTTGTAATCTGGGTTTTCTCTTACTCTTTTCACCTGCCCTGTTTTCTGATTTCCTCAAGTCTTCTCATGCCCTGTCTTCTGATTGTCTGATCATTCCTCTCTGTCTTAACGTGATAATGGTCCGTGATGAACAGGGAAGCACAAGTTTCCTTTACAAAATGTGAGATAATTGTGAATTATTCTAGTAACGATAGAGTAACTTATTCACGTGTAAATAATTCCAAGAATCATTACCCCAGCAACTTATGTTTCAGGCCAGGCCACCTAAATTGTCAAGTTAATATGACAGGAACAAGTATTAAGTAAAGCACAGGGATGAGTACAGTGAATAAATATTAGCCACATTTACGTGTAATGTTTCATGGGCATGACAAAAAAAAAAACTAATCCTGTCAAAATACAGAACATTTCTAAATTTCTATTTCCTATTCCTACGGCGGTTGCTGTCATCTAACCTGCTATCTGTACATACTCGTGTAAAAGAAGCGTAGTCCCCCTTACAGATGGTTGCTGTCTACTATTTACCACTCTTCTGACATAGTGGTACCTCCCTGGATGTTTCTTTTCTAACAACCTACTACCTACGTTTTACACCGGTGTGACAGGACGGTAGTCTTTCCTTGGGTAGTTTTGGTCTATCAACGTACACCTTGTGACGAAGAGTATCTCAATGCTGCACTTCCGCTTGCAGTGTGACTGCTTATTACAGCAGTCACATTTATTACAGTTCAGTTTCCTGTACAATCAATGAATACACAAGGAGAGCATATAAACATCTTAATTATCAAAAGGTATAAAACATGGCGTGGATGTCTCACCAGGCTATGGCCAGCACTGCAAAGTATCTCGAAGCACGTCCTTACATGATCCGGCCACTACATCACTTACGTCAAGCAAGTAAATAAGCAAGTTTATTCAGGTATACACAAATACAGTTATATACATTATCATACATAGCAGCATGTGTAGAGAACCTAGGGTAACCCAAACATGTCAGACTAAGTGGCTTATTTCCATTGGAGTCCTTGGATAATGAGCATTAAAACTGTCAGTCCATGACCAGACGTTCATTGCAACTACATGATAAAGTTGGAAATAAATTCAAACAGTTTTAAAGAGTAGATTAAGTTATGAGCCCAAGAGACCAGAAGCTAGCAATGCTGGCTAGAGTAATTTAAGAGTTAAAGGATACTAGCTGCGACTCGACCCCACGAACTAATTGGCTTGTGTAGCCACTAACCCCAGCCAGACGCCTGACTGATGAACCACCCAATTAATTTAACACTACACGACTGCTCATCCATCCAATTAATACCCGAGTCATCTCTTGTTGAAAAACGAATTATCCCAATCATAATCAGCGCCCTCCTGGGGATGGATGGTATTCACATCTGTTCCGAGAAAGTCAATACCTAGGATCAATTTTTTTCACCAGTATCAAGGCAGTGTTCAGATTTGGGACTAGGCCCTCAAGGACTCTCCACGTGTATATTATCATTTTTCTCCGCTCCAGATCTAGTTTGATATCCATTTCCGAAAAAAATCGCCTAAACAGTGGGTTTCTTCCGTCAAATACAGAGGAGACGGCAGAAGCAGTGGAGAGGATAAGGTCAAGCTCGTAGTTTTGAGGTGGTCAATCCCTCAGCCTGGATGCGAGTGTTCAACTCCATAGTCTGGAACACGTCTTGCTAACATACTTGTCGGTATTGTATACCATTATTATAATCATGTCATGAAGTTTTACACGGAAACGCTGTTGCAATAAATTTAAATTTGTTCTGCAACTAGTGTTTTCATATTCCTAGATGATACGCTGTTTTAGTCACAAATATAACCGAAGACGGACACGACCAGTACTCAAAACTGGTGAACATCTCATTATATTACGTTCATGGGGAAAGTGCTAAAGAAATCCCAAGTGTTAAACAGCGTTCATCTTTCTGTTTATTCCGACTTAATCACACACACATACACATTACAATTTCCAGACTATCACTTATGTTCAGTATCGTTCTCCTGCAGTAGTGTCCAGCAGTAGCTGTCAACCCATCAAACTGACAGGCAGGTTTTCCTGATATATCTCTATATAAATGTCTTGGTGAAATTGTTCACCGTGGTGTTCTATTTCACAAACTGTACCTGTTGGAACAAAACTAAGCTCAGATTCAAATTCAATGTCCCAAAATTAGGTAGAAGCAAATCTGTTAGACTTGGGTTTAAGATTGACAAGTCCCAGTAAGGGAAACCATTTTTGACCAATGATCTATTCAAATTGACGCCCTCTTTTAACCATTTAGATTAGCCAGTTAATAATACAGCATTTAGGATTACAAACCTTGCAAAGTTGTACTTACAATCAATATGCAGTTAATTTTCTTATTTCTAAATAATTCAGTGTTGTAATATTGACATTTTTATTTATGAAGCCTGGTCTGAGCCCGGGCAGCGGAGCAATGGTTATTAGCATTAACATATACATCTACACAATCTCTGCCTCACTGCATAATACTCAGTACAAGAGTACAACTTATCCTCCCCCACACAACCCTTACCATTACCGATATCTCCCCACAATTCTCCCTCGCTCCCCTCCCAGCAATACTCCCACACTTCCTCTCTCCTCCCTCACAGCAGTGCTCCCACACTAATCCCTCACAATCACCAACTCATCAGTAACATGTGAGGAGGGTTAAGTAATTCAACAGCAGCATTACAACACCCAACAAGAGTGACACGGGGGAAGCCGTCTGCGTGTCTGGTACCAACCTGACCTCATGTTACTCCCTCGTTTACTTGAATCCCAGTGCTAATGCACCGCCAGCAGCTACCACATCACAACTGTGAATTCAAATATCCTCCTCGCTCTCACGTTTGTGGTCTGTGTCACTATCCCGTGATAGTGACGGAGTAGCCTCGTCGTCACCATCATCCAGGAAGCCTGGTCTGGGACTAGGTCACATGGGCAATGAACCACGGAATCGACTACATCTTTTAGGCAGACATCTCACAGGTATACCTGGAGAACCTGGAGTATACCTGGAGAAGGTATCGGGAGTCAACGCCCCCGCGGCCCGGTCTGAGACCTGGCCTCGTGGTGGATCAGGGTTTGATCAACCAGGCTGTTACTGCTGGCCGCACGCAAACTGACGTACGAACCACAGCCCGGCTGGTCAGGTTCTGACTTGTTAGCTTGTTTTCCAGAGCATCCAGGACCGCATAGGGGTTCCCAACCTAGATTCCACAGAATTAAAGCTAATCTTCCCTTTCTTGGGACGAAATTGATAGTCCCCATACTTTTCACTGACCTAAAATCTGTATGATTCTTACTGGTTCAGCACAACCTCAATGAACATTAATAATTTCCATCTGGCATCTGTACCCTCCAACACGCAACTGCGTTGACAAAGCTAAACAAGCAGCACTGAATATTGTGGCTCCTAATCAGAGCTGAATAACGGAAGCCATGGGTGCGTGTCTAGCCCCCATTGTCAACGTTTTCCACAAGCACATAATCTGCCCCACTAACTTTGCCTAGACCCGTCCCTACCCATTGAACACCTGCTGCCTCGCAGCGTCCATCCACCCCTGACAGTAGCTGATGAATAACAGCCATGTGCAACAGCTTGTCGGTATATACACCTTTGATCCCGCCTTTGATCTAACTGCCCGTAATTTTTGGTAATACAATGAGAGTATACTAATAGTATGCAAGTGAGACAAGGCGGGTTATGGAGTTTTACTGTACAGACGCTTTGTCCAACAGGGAATGAATCAATTCACAAAGAACAAGACATGGGTATTTATAGGAATGGATAGAGGTCCTGAGGTGAAAGAATGAGATCATTTAGTCATGCGAGTAGCCAGCCGAGCAGGCGAGGCTAGTTGATCGATCACAATAGCCGGTGCTGTGAGTTAGGTGATCACAGTATTTGGTGATATCAGTTAACTGCCAGTACTTCACTCAATACAAATACGAGTGTACAAAAATAGAAAAAAACAATTACTCCAACTAAAGTGCCTTAATACGCATCTAGTTCGCTAATTTATGCAATTAAAAAGACACTTGGTGTCTAGTTTCTCTAACATCACCCTGAAACACGTGCTAGAAATCTGCCCACCGAACAATTCTCATCAGCATACTCAACTAGTTTACTGTGTACACATAGAAACCAACGATTTTTTTTTACATTTTTCATTCCAACGTAATTTGTACTGTAAAACGTTCGTGGTCACAGTAGTATGCAATATTTAGTGAAAATCTGGAACCCTAACATTCTGCATTCTTGTCAATATAAAAAGAATAAAAACACAAACACACACACAGAAGAAAAAATCAATATAATTTCAGATTACCTTAACTCAAATTAAAAATCCCACTGAATCGTTAAAACTCATTGATCCTTCTAAAAATTCTGCCAAGTCCCACTTACCAAGTATGTGTCTCAAGTCTTGACTAACTACTGAACACATGCAAACTTTCCTATTCTTTTCAGCTCCTGCCTTCTAGGGCTCTCGATACAAGGAACTGGACTAATCCACCCTTTCCCTAAATCGAATCAGATTACCTCTTATTCCCCAGGCGCTATCCTTGATTTAAATAATCTTCAACTTCGAACCCTTCTAGGTGAAGTACCTTGATGCTGGTCAAGAGTTCTTGATTAAGGAAATGAAGCCCCCCCCCTTTTTTTTTTTTTTTTAACAGGGTTTGACAAGGTTAAGGATCCCTAGCTTTATTGACAAGCTATTTACTCTCTCTCTCTCCTTAGGATCAAACTTGATTATCTCCCATTTTCAGGGTGCTGTATGACCCATACGGGTTTAGTGCTTCCCCCTGAATATTCTAGTCCATCTCGTAAATGGGCTAAAAGCATTTAATTAGCTAACAAGCTAGCGGGGAAGCGCTAAACCCGTAAAACTCATTCAACACTCGGGGAATGGGAGGTAATGAGATCTGATCCGAGAGGAAGGGCAGCAACAATTCCATGGAACAAGAGCCCTTCAGCAGCACAAAGGCACTTCCCTTGAAGTGCGTGGTTCGTGATCAACTTGGTTACATACGTCCCGGGGAAGTATGAATGAGTGAGCGCGTGTTAACCCACTTGAAGTAGCTTGGCTGAGCAGCTTCTCACAAAGATTTATTTTTTTCTTTATTTAACGTTCCCTAAATGACAGGCTCCAGCTGCCGCTATGTACTGCCTTGGTTTGTTTCCTCGAGGTTCTGTATAACCCTTATTTAGTCACTTATTATTTAGTCAACTTACTCCACAATTTGTAATAATTTAGGGTTACGAAAATGTAAGTTTGCCCGAAATGCCTAGCCTTGCTAGGTGTTCTTGTGGCCCCCTCTGTAATTAGTATTTTATTACATGTAAACCACACAATAACCAAAATCTGTAAACCCCGCATTGTAATCCTTAGAGAATAAACTTTGATTTGATTTGAAAATAAAAAACACAAAGGCACAATACCGGCTAGGTTGGGCAGCTTCTCTCACAAAGATTTACTTATATAACATTACCTCAATGGTAGGATCCAGCTGCCGCTACTATGTGCTACCTTTTTTTTACTCGGGGTTTTGTATGGCCTTTACAGTTAATAAGACAATAAAGAACAAAGAGGCACAATACCGGTACTGGAACAATACACAAATAACCCGTACATAGGTGAGAGAAGCTTATGACAACGTTTCGGTTCGACGTGGACCATTTAAATGGGCCAATTCGTACCGAAACGTCTTAAACTACTCTCTCCTATGTGCCTGTTATTTGTAAGACAATACGCGGCTTACGGAAACGTCCTAACTAACAGTACCAAAAGCTATCAAATGATAAGTCCCTATTGGACGAAAATGTCTTAAACCAGTGTGTCTTATTAATATATTTATCGGTATATTCTACCATTGATATAAACGACTCTTACGGGTCATATTTATCAAATATTTTTTCCCATTATACTGTTAAATATACACACTAACCAGCAGCAGCAACAGCCTGGTTAACCAGACAAGCACCAGACGAGCCTGGCTCATGGCCAAGAATAGAATAAAACTCCTGGAACCGTAGTCTTCAAAACTACGGTGCTCATCACCTGTTAACTGAGGGACGATTACTTCATCTTCCATAGATAAGAATCCTTCCTCCATTAGCCACGAAATGTCATAAGAGGTGACTAAAATGCCAAGAGCAAGGGGCTAGCAACACCACCTATACAAATTAGGAAATGTAAAATGGGAAACTTTCTTTTTTCGGGTCACCCTGCCTATGTGGGAGAGGGCTGGTGTTGAAAAAATAATTTAATTATGTCATTCACTGCACTGAGCCACTGGATGGCGAAACGTCTACAAGTAAAGATACCAAGATGCTGCACATGACTAATTAATCAAAGGTAAGGTATACTAAGGTAACACTGCAGTCGACACCACTGCATCTACCGATCCCGCAAGATTCTTGCAAGAATATTAACTTTCTGAAGTGTCACATGCAGTGCGTCTCTTCTGCTAAGTCACGTTGTTTCCATAATTAAGGCAACGGAATACTGTTGTGTTTAATGACTAAGCATTCTAATAGGCTGGTGGTACATACTACCATCTACCTGACAGAGGAGTGGATGCACAAGGCCTCTCCTGGAGTTACCCCCTTTCTCTGAACAATAGCTACCAGGGTGTTAACCAACTGATATACCTTCGATGAGTTAGGAGTTTTTCTACTCCCAGAACCCGGCCTTGCGCCAGGCTCGTCTGGAGTTCTAAAATTCAACGCTGAAAAGAAAAAAAAAACAAAAGTTTACACAGATTGTGAACATACAACGAATATAAACTTTTAGATCTACCGGCCAATACTAGGCAGGTCCGACTTTGATCCATCCATTCACTGACGACACCTCAACTATCTTACCTACAACCGGTCATATACCCTCTCTCCCCAACACCCCAAACAGTGCAACTAGTCACGCACCCTATCCCCCACACCAACCAAACTGGTCAAACACCCACCCTCCCCCCACACCAACAAGTACAACTGGTCAAACACCCCCCCTTCCCCCCCACACCAACCAGTACAACTGGTCAAACACCTACCCTCCCCCACACCATCTCCACATATTAAATAACGTGTAATTCAATCTCAGTGGGTAACAAAGCA